TGAAAAAAAAAAAAAAAAAAAAAAGGTCCATTTGAAAAAATAGTCTACTCCCGCTATTATAATGTTTCTTCCGATTGGAAGTTTCTTCTTGTTTCAATCGGCCAATTAACTTGAGATCTGAATAAAAAGTCAAAATCCATTGTTTAATTCTACAAATAATCACTAAAAAAATTGGAAAAATAAAAAGTTCGAATTCCAAACAATTTACAGACTTTTATTTTGGGAACGGGGGTTGTCTAATTCCTGTTGGGTTTGAGTAACAATACAGGAATAGGCACTAAAGTCCTCATTATAAACTTATTACAACATGAATTTTGAACTGATTATATTTTGATCCAACTTTGATTCGCCAGTTTTATGGTTACACGAGGATAATGAGCAAATTCACTTCAAACTCTGAGTATTCGTAATATTTGAATACACTCTGGTCTCTGATAAAGTTTTTTTTTTTTTGTAATGACGTAACTTTACTCTAAGCCTCGAATATATAACAAAGGTAAAGATATATATATACACACACTAGAGAGGTGATGCCCGTGCCTACATATTAGGTATTTAGTTTATGCACGGGCCTATAGAACATTCAAGCTTTCGACCGATAGAAAAAAGGCTTAGAAAAATATTTCATTACCTCCTTCTATAGTAATGCCAAGAAATGCTTGAAACTTGAAAGCTGCAGTAGTACATTACTCCTCTAACTGAAAAGAATATGCACTAACTATAAATAATCAATAAAAAGCTTTCAAGTGTAAAAGAATGTAACAGAAAAAGTCTCTCAAGTTGCCTATTCTGTGGAGAGCTTGTTAGTCTAAAGTCTATCATTCTTGTTTAGACAAACAACAGACTAACATTCTAATCTTGTATAGAAACGAAAAAAAAGTCTCTCATCACAAGAGCAATTCCTCCATCCACTCATAAAAAATGTTGCGGCGTTCTTGTCAACAGGATTACCGATTTTTAGCTTTCTAGGAAAGCATGTGTTTGAAATCAGGGAATAGGTTTTTTGGCATTACAATGCACAATATTTAGTATAAGGGCAGTAGAAAATGCGCGTTCATATTACTATATTGTACAATCCATTGTCATTTGATGTCATACCAACTTAAAAAATTACAAATGCACAAAACAAGTATATTCTTTTTTTTCGAAAAAGTTCAAGTGCAAAGTTTTGCAGAATAAAATTTATTCTAAGTATCTCCTTTGAAACTTCTTCCTACAATATTGGTTAATGTACCTAAATATTACAAGCTATATTCACTATAATATTTGATAATCAATCCTAACTGGGATATTTAATTGTTTATTGTGCATAATATTTGACAATGCCAAACCAGATAGAATGTAAGAAAGAGTTCATATGGGAGAAATTAAGTAAATACACACACACAGAGAAAGAGAGAGAAAGATAGTCGTCCTTAATCTTTTGTGCACTCTCACAATTTTAGCATATATTTTTATAACTGGAAGGTTACAATATTACCATCTTTCATCAGGCTATGACAACTAACTTGAAATATGAAGTCATAGAAAATCTTCATACCTCCTTTTTTTCAAGAAGGTAACATAAATCGTGATAACTCGTTTGTGGAACTGATTATCAAATTGCGATCCTAGTGTATTAGCAGATAAGTAGTAAAGGCCTTTATAGAAAAGCTACTGTAATTTGTTGCTAAGCAGCTCATTCGACTGCCTAATTTTCTTGCATAGATTGTAGATGTTGAACTAATTGATGAACTTTAAATCGGTTTGCATAAGTTACTTACATGAACATTTTTAACCAACTTCTCTTTATTGTGATTTTCATGCTACTTTACTCCTGGTAATTTCAGGCTTAAATACCATACATAGACATTGCATAAAATTGAGACTAAGACTCTCTAGAAACTTATCATATAATTATCTCATATTGCTGATCTTAACAAAGATCAATTATGATGAATCTGACAAAGACTACTATTTTGCGGAGCAAGGTTGACTAACCTTCCCATGGTGCCAGCAATCCCGTGAAGGCTGGAAACCTGCAATCGCAGACTTACGGCATTAGTTATTTCAGTTGATCCCGCGGTCACATCTGCCTTCTCCCGAAAACAATCAAAATAAGATTTGTGAACTTCATTACACCATATAAAATGAGTTAGACATATCATCAAACACCTTGGATGCATAATCCACTTCAACAACTATAGTATTACTTATGTTCGCATTAAACAAAAACAAGAGAAAGGAACACAAGTTGATGAAAAATATCCAAATATATAGGTGTGATATTGTATTCTGTTTTTTCCTTTAGAAGGGATTGAAACAAAAGCCGGTGAAGCATATACATGAGACATGTATTAGCACTAACCGCAAATAACCAATCCCGCCTCTTTCTTGATGGTATACTCCTATTATTCGAAGTGGCAGTTCGAGAAATTTTGGAACAAAACAAATTTTAGAATAATGAACGGAAAGAAGCATGTAATCATACTTGTTAGAAGAATCTAGAAGCTAAAGTGAAGAACAAAGAAAATGAGGATAAGACATAAGAGAGTGAAAATCTCATTCTGTATATCTTCTTCAATGCATGAGTACTGTACATATCTACACAGCACACACGGGCACCGCCTCTAACTAACTAATTAATTAATCGACTTATTACAAAAGAGTAACTTCAATACTCCCCTCAAGCTAGATGATGGTACACATCTAACACCCTAGCTTGGATAACAGATAATAGTGTGGTGTTGCACCCAACCCTTTTGCGAAAAGATAAGCTAGTTGATGTTTGCTTCCCAAATATTCTGGTCGAATCAGTCCCTTCTTGATCTTCTTCCTAATGAAATGGTAGTCAATCTCGATATGTTTTATTCTCTCATGATATATTGGATTAGCTGCAATGTGCATTGCTGCTTTACTGTCAGTAAAAAACTTCACTGGTGTTGATATGTCAACACTCACTTCTTTTAACAAACCTTCTAGTCAAACTACTTCAGCTACTGCTGCTGCAGTACTTCTGTATTCAGCTTCAATTGAGCTTCTGCTTATGGTTTGTTGCTTCTTGGATTTTCAAGATATCAAAGACTCCCCTAACTTAATTGCATAGCCTGTTACTGATCTTGTTGTATTTGGACAAGGAGCCCAGTTTGAATCACAGAAGGCTGCTAACTGCTCTATATCAGCTCCTATTTTTAAGAGTATACCTTGTCCAGGTGACCCCTTAATGTACCTTACCAATCTCAAAGATGCATTCCAATGTCATAATTTTGGTTGCTACATGAACTGACTCAGTATTTGTACTGCAAAACTAATGTCTGGCCTGGTAATGGTCAAATATAGTAGCTTACCTACTAACTTTCGAAAACTTCCAGCATCTGTCAATTGCTCATCATCAGATTTCCCAACACGAGTATCATACTCCACAAATGTGAGTTTAAGGTTAACCTCCAGGTAGTAACAAGTTTGGACCCACTCAAACCAATGTCTTCAAGCAATTCTAAAGCATACTTTCTTTGATTAAGTAGAATCCCAGACTTCGATCTTAAAACTTCAATGCTCACGACATATCTCAACTTTCCTAAGTCCTTTACTTTAAACCTTTTATGACGTGTATCTTTACCTTCTTCAATCATCTTCTTGTTGCTCCCTGTGATGAAAATATCATCTACATACACCAAGATTATGATTATATCATCTCCATCCCTCTTTGTTAATAGAGAATGATCATAAGAATTCTGCTTATAGCCTGCTTTTATTAGGGCATCAGTGAGCTTGATGTTTCATTGTCGAAACTTGTTTTAAGCCATAGAGTAACTTAAGTAATTTGGATACCTTATACTCCACATGTCTGTGAAATCCTTGAGGCAAATCCATGTATACTTCTTCAAACAAATCTCCTAGTAGAAAAATATTATTTACATCCATTTGTGAAAGATCCCAATTTCTTGAGGCTGCAATAGATATCATTGTTCTTACAATTACCGTCTTGGCAATTGGTGAGAATATTGTATGATAGTCTAAACCTTCTTGTGGTGTGTACCCTTTTGCCACTAGTCTGGCCTTGTATTTGTCTATTTCTCCATTTGTTTTGTACTTAATTTTATATACACATTTAGATCCCACAGTTTGTTTACCTACTGGGAGATCAATAATTTCCCAGGTGTGGTTGTCCTTCAAGGCAGTTATTTAATGCCCCATGGCTTCTATCCACTTCGTTTCTTGAGCTGCTTCTTTAAAACTTCTTGGTTCTGCAACAGTTGAGACAAGACCAACATAGGATTGATAGGATTCAGGTAGATAATCGTAAGATATATGAGCAGTAATAGGATAGTGACAGAAGGCTGGAGTCTTCTTCCCAGTAATATAGTCTTTCAACCATGTAGGAGGCTTAGAGACTCTACTAGGTCTAGTTCTATTTGATTCTTGGTTATCAGACCGATCCCCCTACAGCTAACTCTTCAAGTTGCTCACCTACAGTTTGTTCAATAGACTACTCACCTGCATCTTGTTCATTTGTGATAGCCTGTTATTGGTTCATCTCAGCTGGTATGCTGCAATCTGAGATGTTATCATTACAATTTGGACTGATATTTGTCTCCGAGTTGTCCAGGTTTTCCTCTAGATCTGTTGTGTTCTCCAAATGTGTTCTTTCTAAAGAAATGTCAAACACTGTGTTGTTTTCATCAGATGAGTTGGTAATTTGAGATCCTGCTTCTGGTGTAATAGGATCAATGCTCTCAGTTGGAATTGGATCCAGCAGGAACAAGTCACCATCTCCATTGTCTCCATAGTTCCTTTCCTTGAAGGGAAATATAGTTTCCCCGAAGGAAACATCCCTGCTAACCAAAAAAGGACTTAGACTCCAAGTCATACAACCTATACCCCTTTTGTGTTTCTGAATAGCCCATAAACATTGTCTTATTTGCTCTTGTTGCAAATTTATCTTCTCTTGGTAAGACACCGGCACAACACAAACATCCAAACACCCTCAAATGTTCCAGTATTGGTGTTTTGCCATGAAGTATTTCATTAGGTGACTTCCCTTTGAGGATTGCAGTTGGGAGCTTATTAATTAGGTAAACTGCAATCCTTATACACTCACCCCAAAATCTAATTGGGACAGAACTCTAAATTCTTAAAGCTCTTGCAACCTTCAAAATATGTCTATGTTTCCTTTCCACAGTACCATTTTTCCGTGGAGTGTATGTGCAACTACTTTGATGAACTATTCCAAGAGCAGAAAATAAAGCACAACATCTAGAATTGAAGAATTCTATACAATTATCACTTCACATTTGGACAGTATCAAACATACCCAAGTATATATACTATAGTCATCAACAATTGTGACAAAGTAATATTTCGTATCATATGTAGGTTTCTTATAAGGACCCCTAACATCTAGGTGTACAAGCTGGAAACTACAGTCTGTTTTACTTGTGCTATCTGGGAATGTTGACCTGTGTTGATTTTCCATTGGGCATATTTGACACTCCTGTTGAGTATGCTAATCTGCTAAACCTTATAAGGACCCCAAACATCTAGGTGTACTAGCTGGAAACTACAGTTTGTTTTACTTGTGCTATCTGGGAATGTTGACATGTGTTGCTTTGCCATTGGGCATATTTGACACTCATGTTGAGTATGCTCATCTGCTAAACCTTTCAAGGGAGGAATGTGCTGCATTGCTTTCATGGATGGATATCCTAATCTTGAATACCATAATTTTGTGTTATAGTTTCCTTCTATCATTATTGTTGCTGCTACTGGTTTTATTGCTTTTCTAAGGATGTAAAGACCATTTGTTTCTCTATCAATCCCCATCACCTTGCCACTATAAAGACCTTGTAAAAGACAGAAGTCAGGAAAAAATTTAATAATGCAATCAAGATCTGTGGTCAGTTTTGATAGTGAAAGTAGGCTGAACTTGAAGTCTGGCACGTGTAGAACATTTTTTATCCTCTGTGCCTCTAGGATTATTGCACTTCCTATATCTGTTATTTGTGACATGTTTCCAGCTGGTACCTGCACTTTTCTACTTTCCTGACTTTCTAGTTTGTTGATGTCAACTAGTTTATCATTGAAGGAAGTGATAAGATGAGACGCCTCTGAGTTAATGATCCATTCAAAGAGACAATCATTCGACAACATGGAAAAAATACCTGCCATGTTGACTTTGCAATCACCAACTGAAGATTTGTTCAGCAAGTCCACAAGCTGCTTATACTCCTCCTCTGTGAAGTAGTGGCCTTAAGACTGGCTCTCAGTAGAACTGTTCCCTTCAGCAGAATTATTTCCTTCAATTATTGCATTATTAGCATAGGTCTTGAAGCCACCAGCACCCTGCATTGGCTTTCTTTTGCTCTTAAAATCAGGTGGATATCCCATAATTTTGTAGCAATTCTCTTTTTGATGCCCCTTATACCCACAATGTTCACAAATTACACCAAACTTTTTGCCTTTTATCATTTGTCCCCTGCCAGCTAACATAGTCAATGGCTCCTTATTCATGTCCATTACACCAAGAGCCCTTTGGCTTTCTTCTTGTATTACTAAGGCATATGCTTGATTTACTGATAACACATGAGTTTTTAACAAAATTTGGCTACGGACGTGAGCATAGGTCTCATTTAATCCTACTAGAAATTGCACTAGACGTTGCTGATAAAATATTTCAAGAAAAGTTTCTGATTCCTTACAATTACATCATCGGCCTGGTATTAAGGTGTCTTGTTCATCCCATAAGTCTTTCATTTTAGTAAAGTGCGTGGTAACAGAATCAGTAACTTGAGTTAGGGTTCCAATTTGAGTCCAAAGGTGATAGAACCACATCATTACATTGTTCCCACAGATCCACTAATTCTCCTTTGTTTAAACTCTTCACATATGTTCCTTCTATGAAACCTAGCTTGTTCTTCCCCAACAGAGCCAAACGCATCGATCTACTCCATAATCCATAATTTTATGGGCATGTTAGCTTGATATCTATTAGAATCGCTCCAGGCGTATCGGATGGTTGAAGAGAGAGTGGATGACGATGGTCAATTTGAGGCGTTGATGTGTCTCCCATGGCGGACAACTCTAGATTTGACAATGGCGAACCAGTTGGGTGAAGAAGAAGAAGAAGCATATTCAGAGCCCTAATCGCTGTTCTGATACCATGTTAGAAGAATCTAGAAGCTAAGGTGAAGAACAGAGAAAATGAGGATGAGAGAATAAAAATCTGATTCTGTATATCTTGTTCAATGCATGAGCACTGTACATATATACATGACGAGCGCAAAACACACGCTTAAATTGTGCTTGCTAGTCAAAGATAGTATAGTATAATTATCGTCTCCAAAGGGATTGGATTTAAATAGTATTCTCGTAGTTTGTAGTTAGATTGCTATCCAGAAGGATCAACAGTTGAGATATATATAATTAATAATCTAAAATCTACAGCTATTGACTAATGACAATATTAACAAAGGTAAGCAAGGAATTTATCAATGGGAGAAAATATGGGTTGATGAGATAGGTGCAAGATAGTTGTTTGGGATCTAACTCTAGATAATTCACTTCTAATGTTCAAGTGAGTATCTCGAATTCACTTAATTATCAGTACAAATGTTTAGTAGAAACTCCTCTCTCAATTAAGTTTCAAACTCACAATATGAACCAATTTAAGCTCAGTGAAGATATGCAAGAATTCATAATGGATTGGTCTTTAGGAGAACCTCTTTCGACTATCCTCCTAACTTGGTTTAATCAAGGATTCAAATGGCCTCTTTCGATTACTTAGAAGAATCTATGAACTCAATTAACAACATAGTGTAAATATATCACAAGTTATGCCTCTTTCGATTACAAGAATAAGTGAACATAGATGCAACAATTAAATCTTCCAAAAACTATTCAAATACATAAACATAGAGTTATAATCCACAAACAACCATTACTACACCAAATCCGTCAAAACCCAAAAGGTTCTATTCCATAGACACGGAGGAGTTCTTCACAAATGAAACAAAAATAGAGAAAAACATAAATACAATCGAAACCCGGATTTGAGTGAGGAAGGATGGATGAAATCCTTGTGCTCTTGCTTCTCCTTCTTCTCCTAAGCTTCCCTAGGTCTAAGGTATGTCAATAGTGTGTCAAAAATGGTGTTTTGGGGTATTTAATCTGCCCCAAAGCAAATACCGGACAAAACTACCCTTTCTTAGCGAAATCAGATTTTTCCCTTACAGGACATGCGCGACCACGCACCTGGTCGTGCACTTTGCACACCATTCTGTCCCAAGTACGCGCCCTATGCGCGACCGCGCATTTGATCGCTCACCTGGGTTGTATAAGTTGAGAATATGGGAAAGTGTAAAACATGAAAGTTGTAGCCTATTTAAATAGCTTTCCAACGATATATTGTGGATCCCAAACGGAGTTCCAAGAAAAAATGTTATATGTAATTTACTGGATACTGCACAGTATACCTGCTCGATTCTTCATTGCGTTCCACTATTATCCGTTGATCCCCGAACTCGATACTGACTTAATTCTTGGGCTTTTACTTAGAATTCAAAGCTCCAAAATAGCATGAATTCATGCCACAATATCTATATAGCTCGGAATGACTCCTACGGGGAATAAAATACACAATAAGTGCAAAACACACCTATTAAATCTCAACATAAGTAAAGTGTGGTGAATTAGAGTGCAATAAGCGACTAAAATACGGGATTATAGCCTACCATCAATACACAACACACATGAGCACTGCCTCTAACTAACTAATTAACCAACTTGTTACAAAAGAGTCACGTGACTTCAATATTACCGGAGATCGAGACAAACTTGGGGTGGGCTGACTTTGCAAACAAAATTCATACTTTTGATTTTTTTATGAAACGATTTAATTTTGGAGTTGTTAATTTGTACCAAAAGAGAATTAATCAAAAGACATCAGGAAATAATTATCCAAAATCATAAACTAGCATTCATCAAGGTATTTATTTTTAAGCATGTATGTGAAGATTAGATACAATTATAAAGACCTAAATTCTAGAATCTAGCACGAAATTACCAACAAAGAGGCAATAAGCAAAGATAGATTGCAGAAGAACTTACCAGAATTGAGAGCTGAAACTAACATATATCCAAAAAAGTGCAATGAACGAAGAAAATTTGCAGAAATACTTACCATCAAAGAGATATAGAAAGTTTTAGAAACTACCAATTAGTGAAAGAGAGATGAAGCAGAGAAGTAGAAAAGGAGGTAATGCGCTTAGATGACCATTTAGACTATTAAGTGGGATGGAATAGAATAATTGTACACGTGTTTATAAAGCAGTACACGTGTCACAGAAATATAGCAGTAAATGCTTAGATGGTAACGAAATTACAACAGTACCATAGAAGACTTTTAGTTTTGAGAATACAATTCTTGTTGCTTATTGTACAATCACATATTACAGTGTTCGTACACTTCTTCACATTTATGAGAAGGTGACTCGCATTTGCAACCTTTGACTGCCTGATGCACTGATCACATTTGCGATCCGTGTCTCGTATCTGCAGACATCACATTTGCGAAGAAGTATTCGCAAATGTGACGTCTGCAGCTAGGTAAAAAGGGGGGGAAACTGGACTTAGCTCATTTTATACTATTTCTCAACCCCAAAAATTCTAGAGGTGATTTTTGAAGAACTTTTTCTTCCCAAATTCGTTGATAAGAAACTATAATACATTTTCTATAAATTTCCCATTACTTTTCATGAATTTTTAACATCAAATCTATGAATTTCATTGTAGAAATTAGGGTTTTTTCGGTAGAATTTAAGGATTTTTTAAAATTGAGATTTACACCTCAAATTGAGGTCAGATTTCGAAACAAATCAAGTAAAGGAGCTCGAGATGAATGGGTAATCGGGTTTTTGTCCGAATTTCGGATTTCGATCAACCTGGCCTCGATTTTACTTTTGTTGACTTTTTAAAAAATTATCAAAATTGAACCCTTTTCATATGTGGGTAGTTTCTAAAGCTTATTTTGAATTGTTTGATCGATAATTGGCTATATTTGTTTAGTTTGGGGCTTGTTCGAAAGGCAAAGTCATGATTGATTGTTGATTTTGTTACAGAGTGAGGTAAGTGACGTGCTTAAATTTGACTTGAAGAAATTATGACTTGTTGTAACGACCCGAAATCGCAACTTGTCATGATGGCGCCTAACACACTCGCTAGACAAGCCGCACATAACAATAAAGAAACAAAAAAGCAAAATTTACAGAAATAACACAAGTCTAAAACCTCAATAAAATGAAATAGTGCTAATACATGATAAATCCCCTAGAAACTGGTTAATACAAAGTCATGAGCTTTAATAGGAAATACAAGTCTGAAATGACCAGGAACTATACTGTTTGAAATAAGGGCAACAATACATAATAAAAAAGACGCCAAGACTGCAAGCGAGAATGCAGCTCTACCTCGTCTCTCGATACTCAGCTCAACAAGCAACTCCGCTACTGATAACTGGTCCCAACACCTGGATCTGGACAATTAAGTGTATAGTGTAGTATGAGTATAACCGATACAATATACTTAATAAGTATCATAACTAACCTTGGTGAGATAAACTAAGCAAGAATTATAAATGATACCTGCTATAACCTGTACAGTTTCATAAATCCAACAAGTACTAAACAGTAATGCAATCAAGTATAAAGAAAAGAAAGGACCATCTGTGTGTGTGAAAAATTACTCAGATACTCTGCTCTGTCAATGTTTCAGAACATAAATATGATAGGCAATTAAATTAGGTAATTAACCACGAAAATTGCAAGTAATGATGAAATGAAAAATCCAAACAAACACTAGCCAGATTTTTCCTCAAAACCTTTTACAAATCCGTATCAAACCACTAATCATGTTTCCTCATTTTCACGCGTACACCATCAAGAGAGAAATATGAGAGGGTGACCCTAGGGGGATGGATCCATATCCACACGCAAGTACGGCCAATTCAATGTGCTACCAGCCCAGCGTGCTCATAGGCTCAATACCATAATTCGTCCTATGTGGTCAAATGCATAACAATGCAATCCGCCCGGCGTGATCACATGCATAACAATACAATCCTCCCGGCATGGTCATAGGCATAACAATACAATTCATCCGGCATAGTCACAAGCATAACATACAATCCATCTAGCGTGAACACAGACACCCAGTACATATCACACATAAGCAAATATACAAGAATATATGTATATGATGAATGAATATCAAATTTCATGCTCCTGGACTGGTATAATGGCATGCTAAAGTGTATACATGTGCAAAGTATACTATCATAGCTCAAATCGACAATTTCATCACAAAAATAGCAATTATCAAGCTCATTCAAGGATTTGGCCTCTATGTAACCTCAAACATGGCTCAAATAGTTCATAACAAGGCTATAAATATGAGAAACATTATAGCTTAAAGCTTTACAGTCAATTCAAGGCATATCATAGCCTAAGCACTACCTCGAACGTGGATAAATACTCTGGTGCTCGCACATGGGCTCAAACCTCACATATATGTGCACCCATAACACGTAGCTATCACCAATAATGTAGGCAACTAGTGCCTCAACCATGTTTAGGTAAGATACTTACTTCAAGGAAGCCAAATTACTCCTCTAACAAGCACTTCCCGCGTGTATCATCCTCTGGACGACCTAAATCTAGCTAAATTAATTTAATCTAATCAATAAAAGCCATAGGAATTGATTTCAAATGATAAAACTAAGATCTTTAACCATAATAAAAAAAGTCAACCCAAAAAGTAAACCTCGGGTCCGAACTTCAGAACCCGAAAAAATTCACAAATCCCGAACACCCATTCGATTACGAGTCCAACCACACCAAAATTATCCAAATCGGACCTCAAATCGACCTTCAAATCCTCAATTTGCACTTCAAAACGTTTTTAATAAATCTCTCATTTCTCCACTTTAATTCACCAATTAAATGCTAAAGACAAAGATGGAATCATGAAATAATAACAATTTCGAGTCAAGAACACTTATCCCCATTCTAATCGTGATAATTCCCTCCAAAATCGCCCAAATCCGATCTCTCTAACTCAAAATGTTATATAATAACTCTAACCCTCGAAATGGGATTTAAAGCATTCTGCCCCAGGCATTTTCATTTCGCGATCGCGGATAAGCCTTCGCGATCATGAAGCACAAAAACTCCAACTGCCCAATTTCTCCGAACGTGACTCTGGTGTCACGAATGCGATGACCAAACCTCCAAAGTTGTGTGATCGTGGACCCAACCATATGATCGCGAAGAAAAGGCGCGTGAAATCCTCAGGATCTTCCTTCTACGTGAATGCGCCTGCCGATTTGTGTACGAGATGAGTAACCTTCTTAAGGTTTTGCGAACACATCCTTCCTTGCGGAAACGGGAAGATGAAAACCCCACCTGCCACAACTACTCTACGCGATCACGACCCATACTTTGCGATCGCGAAGAAGAACACCAGAGGCACAGAAATCAGAAGTCCAACATGATGGAAAAAGATTCGAAGCTCAACCGAAACACACATGGGGCCTCCAATACCCCGTTCAAACATACCAACAAGTCCTAAAACACAATACACACTTGCTCTAAGCCTCAATTCACATCAAACAAAACCAAAACCATGAATTGCACCCCAATTCAAGCGTCCTGAACTAATGAACTTCCAACTTGTAAAACTAATGTCGAATAATATCAAATCAACTCCAAATGACCTCAAATTTTGCATGCAAGTCCCGAAAGACACAACAGACCTAACCCAACCCTCCAAACTAAAATCTAAACCCGATATCAATAAAGTTAACTCTCGGTCAAATCTATCAACCCTCCAAACCTTCAACTTTCCAACTTTCGCCACAAAGTCTCAAACCAACCTACGGGCCTCCAAATCAATATCCGGACATACGCCTAAGTGAAAAATCACCATACGAATCCATAGGAACCATGAAAACTCTATTCCGAAGTCATATACACAAAAGTCAAACTCCGATCAACTCTTCCAATATAACCTTTCAAACCTTGGGACTAAGTATTCCAATTCACCCCAAAGCATCTCGAAACTAGACCAATCACCTTGACAAGTCACAAAAATATAAATGAATATAGAAGAAGTAGTAAATAGGGGAACGAGGCTACAATACACAAAACGATCGGCCGGGTCGTTACACTTGTTGGTCTATTTTCTTCGTGAATTATGTGTGGGTGATGATGTATATGTAAGGTGATGAGTATATATACGTTACCATGGGTTGAAGCATGCGGGTGGAAATTGTTTTATTGCACCATGTTGTTTTATTTACTATGCCTTCCATGCCTTAGTTAGATCGCTAGTTCTTTAATTGTTCGCTTTCATATTTATTACTTATTTTGAAGTGGTTGTGTTGAGTTGTCCATGTTAATGAGTTTATATTGGCAACAGATTGCATGCCGCAACAGTAATAAAATGAATTGATAATGGGAATGGGTTGCACGCCGCTACAGATATTGATATTATATTGGGATCGGGTTACACACTGCAACATATATT